GGCCAGGGATCAAACTCATGCTGCAGAGGCTGCAGATAGCTTCATAGGTTGTGTCTTAGCCCCTTGCACCACCAGGGAGGCCCCCCAAATTACATGTTTTTGTGGTTAAAAAAAAAAACTTCAACAGATGTGGTACAGAAGAAACATACTAAACATAATAAAAGCCATATACAACAAAGCTACAGTTAACATTATATTCACTGAAGAAGAAATTGAAAGACTTTCCTCTAAGATTTTGAACAAAACAAGGGTAACCATTGCCCCTATTCTTAATCAGCATAGTATTGGAAGACCTAGCTAGAACAATCAGGCAAGGAAATAAAAGGCATCCAAATTGGGAAGGAAGCAGTAAAATTGCCATTATTTGTAGCTTATATGATCTACTGTATTGAAAGTACCAAAAACACAACTAAAGAAACTGTCAGAGCTACTCAATGAATTCAGTAAAGGTGCAGGATATAAAATCAACGCACAGAAATCAATTATATTTCTATACACTAACAATGAAACAATGAAAAGAAATAAAACTATACCATTCACAATATGATCAAACATAAAAGTACCTGGGAATAAATTTAATCAAGTAAGTATGAGTGCTGGACTACAAAAAATGCAAGACTTTGTTAAGAGAAATCAAAGACACAAACTAATGGAAAGACATCCCATGTTCATAGATTGAAAAAGTTGATATTATTTTTATTTTTTTAAAGATTTATTTATTTATGCATATAAGAACAGGGGTGTAACACAGAGGTGTGGGAGACTGGCTTTGCAAGACTTTGTTAAGAGAAATCAAAGACACAAACTAATGGAAAGACATCCCATGTTCATAGATTGAAAAAGTTGATACTATTTTTATTTTTTTAAAGATTTATTTATTTATGCATATAAGAACTGGGGTATAAGCCAGAGGTGTCGGGGGTGAGAGGACTCACCAGAGACAGAGTGGGGAACAGAACAGGCAGATCCACTGAAATACTGAGGGGAGCAGAAGGTGAGATAGGAGGGGTCTGCTGTGCCATGTGGGTAGCTCCCTGGCTGACCAGGGATGGAACTGGTGCTACAGTGGCTGGTGATAGTTTCATAGCACTGTCTTTAACGCCTATACCACCAGGGAGGCCCTAATATTATTTTTATTTTTATTTTTAATTTTTTTAAATATTTATTTATTTATTTATACAAGCACTGGGAACAGTCAGAAGTGCGGGAGGGTGAGAGAATCCACCAGAGCCAGAGCAGAGCAGGCAGACTGACGAGTACACAGCTGAGGGGAGCAGCAGGCAGCAGGAGAGGTCTGCGCGCCATGTGGGACCCTCGCTGGTGGCTGGGGATCGAACTGGTGCTGCAGAGGCTGTGGGCAGCTTCGCAACCCAGTGCCAACTGCTGTGCCACGAGGGGAGGCCCTAATATTATTTTTAAATGCCCATCCTACTTGTGGGGTCCTGGGAGGGCGGCCCAAGGCTTGTTGTTGTGCTAAGGGCTCTGGGAGGCCTCTGTGGGGAAAGGCACTTTGAGGAAATCTTGAGGAGGGGCAGGGGCAGCCCTCCTCTACCAGTAGCTGCTCCAGGTGGAGGGAGGGATATGTGTATAGACTCACGAAAGCGGGAGGGAAAGGATGCAGCGGAAGTGCCCAGCCCCTGCCCTCTGGGTGTCTGATCTTCCAAACATGCTGTCCAGCCTCTGGGCTGGGGGGCAGGGGAGGACGCGCGCTGGGCCCCTACAACCTTATCCTGGCTTGAGTTGGGCATGGCAGGTAGGCTCAGCCGCAGCGCCCCCCCGCCCCCCCCCCGCCCCTCCTCTCAGCCACTGTTTTGATCCACCCCAGGTCTGGGATGCACTTGCAGAGAACAGAGGCCTCGCAAGGAGCAAGTACCTGGTCAGGTGCTCTCCTTTGCAGCCGGGGATTCCCACCTTAAGTCTTTCGCCATCTCCCATTCCATCCAGTGCCCTGCCTTCCACAGGTACCCACCGGAACCTGTTGTCTTGAAGCCTGTCTGGGAGGCTGGAGACCCACGGACAGGGAGAGGGTGGTGACAGGAGAAAGCCTATGGGAGTAGGGCAGGCAAGGACCTGGAAGGGACATTTTTCTGTTCCCAGTTCTCCAGACCTCTGTGATTCCTGAGATCACAGCACAATAAGGCAGTTTTTCACGAAGCTGAGTGAAAGTCTGAATTTTAAGTCTCTCCCTCTCCCACCTATTGCCTTGATCGTAGCAATAGAATTTGGGAAAAAATGCTGTGCCCATAGTTTTTATTTGCAGCTGGTAACAACAGAACACAAATTTATTATAAATCTGGTTTTGAAAGTAAACTGTAAGGGCAACTAGGTGAAGAGGTTACTAGTTTTTCTTACTTTGGCAAATTTTTGTTAATTTTAAATTATTTTAAAACGAAAGTTTAAAAAATGAATTGTACTGAGAACTGATCTTACCCCTTGTGTGGGTTCTTTTTCATTCTGGTCCAAGCCCAATGCTGTGGAGAGAGAAGGCATCCACCTTGTTTCTCCCTCTCCAGTTCAGTGCACTTTGAGGGCCCTGGGGCTGCTGTCAGCTCTCAAGTCAGAGCACTGGGAACAGAGCAAGTTCTGTTGACTTCTTTCTGTGGCTCTGGTTTTGGTTTAATAATTGGCAGTGCAGTAGAGCAAAGGGGTGGTGGGTCGACGGTGGGAGGAGTGGTGAAGTCCTGACCTAGCAGTGGTGGGGGGCTGGAGCTGGGGACTGGAGAAGGGATTGGAGAGGAGTGGAGAAATCTGAGCATTCTAGTAGAAACGAATTGGGGAGTGTGTGTGTGTTTGTGTGTGTGTGTGAGAGAGGGAGAGAGCAAGAGCGAGAGAGAGCGAGAGAGCGAGAGAGAGAGAGAGAGAGAGAGAGAGAGAGAGAGAGAGAAATGGACAGTGAACAAAGCTGAGGGGCCCTGGTGGCCACTTTCATTCAGATTCGGATAGTGAGGGAACTTCTGAATGTGGTCTGTCCAAGCTCAAACTCCTGGGTGCACAGGGTCCTGCTCACTTTGTTGATCACAATCCATAGGGCAGGCTCTGTCCTGAGAATAAGGCACACACTTGTGTGGGTATAATACTGCCCCCATTGTACAGATGAGGGCACTGAGGCTTGGAGAAGCTCAATAGCAGCTGGAATCTGCACCAGGCTCATGTCTCTGCAACTCTCATTTTCTTACCTTCACACTCCTCTGACAGATCAGTCTCCCAAGCAGAAGATAGCGGAGGACCATTTTGATAAATTTGCTGAGCATCAGAATCTTCATGAATAGTTTGTTTGGTGGATGATGGGGCCCAAGACTCTCAATCCCTAGAAAGTGCCAGGGTGATGGCCCAGACAACTGCTGTCTGTCTGATCTTTCATTTTCCTAACTTAAGATAGGAAAAAGCCAGTTTTCCTGCTTGCCTTTGTTCCTGAAGGATGGGAGAATGGATATTGGGAGGCCATTAGAATATGCCTAGTGCCCTTTCAGAATGCCATCTATACTTTTTATCCCCAAAATAAATAGGGCAGACATGCAGTTGTCTTGGAAACATCTAAGGTCAGCGTGATTCAGACTCCAGGGACTTTATGTAAGCTCTCCGATGGCCTGAGGGAACTTAAGACTGTCTTCTCCAAGCCTGAGGTGAGGAAGGGGTTGTTTTTCTCCTTACAGAGAAGGGCATTGCAATTTGAAGCCAGCAGCATCTTCCTCCAAATCAATCTCTTCACTAAAACTCCGAGCTGCTCCTCTCCTGCCTGTGGAACTGCACTCTAGGTGTCCATTCAATATCTTGGTTTGGAACCTCACTTTCGTATTGCATATGTATTTTATCAGCCTAATCACTTAGCTTGCTATGTATACATCTGTATTACTGGTTAGACTACTTTTTATATGTGACCTTGAAATTGAATTTCAACATCTTGACTCCCAATAAATTATGAACCCCTGAAGTGCAAGGGATGTATCTGATCCTCCTCTGGCTCCCCAAAGGCCATGGTGGAGCCATGGGCAAACAACTACTGTCTGCCCATTGCAAATCTTTTATAGTCACTTTTGCTATAGTAGGTGACACATGCACTGAACAATTGGCTTAAAGGTAGAATGAGGGTAATTTTAGTGGCTTCACATTGTCAGTAGAAGGCCTTAAGTTCCTTCCAGCTCAACACCATCCTACCTCTAGGGTAGAGCTGAGATGTCCTCATGGCCCAACTCTGAGCCAAAGCCAGTGGTCGAGCCATCACAACTGCTTTACAGGGAACAGGAGATAGCGTCTACTGATGCAAATTCTCACACCTCCACCTTTTTCCGATTTTACTTCATTGACCACAACTTAGTTATCAAATTTTGTGATACATCCAGCTGGAATGTCAAGTCTTTTAAGTGGGTACTTTGTCTCAATAAATCAGGCTCAGTATCTCAATGAGGGGAGAGGTGTCAGGAGTAAATTACCAAGTGTGCCCTCAGCCATCAGTGTTCCCTTCCTTTCCCCATGTTCCCATTCAGAGACTTGCAGATAGTTGGTCTGGGGTGTGTGGGCTGGGCAAAGTACCCTAAAGGATTCCAGTGTGCACAGGGCTATGAACCCCAGCTCTGTTACAAGCTGTGTGCACACCTGTGCCTGCGGTAGGTGCTCAGCCCTGGATCTCACTATAGGTTCCTTCTACTAAGCTTCCTGCCGTGTTGTTTTTTATAGATTTATTATTTATGCATATAAGAGCTGGGGTGTAGGCCAGAGATGTGGTAGGGGGGTGGTGGTGAAAGGATTCACCAGAGACAGAGTGGGGAGCAGAACAGGCAGATCTACTGAAATACACTGCTGAGGGGAGCAGCAGGCGCAACAGGAGAGGTCTGCTGCACCATGTGGGTAGTTCCCTGGTTGGGGATTGAACTCGTGCTACAGTGGCTGCGGAGAGCTTCTTAGCACTGAGGCTTAACCCCTTGTGCCATCAGGGAGGCCCCTAAGCTTCCTGCCTTTAACCTTCTTCCTCTTTCTTCAAAACTTAAGTCTAACACATCAGGCAAGGGAAAGGAAGCAACATTTGTATTATGGTTTTATTGGTCAGATTTCCAGAACCAGGTTCTCTACTGGGCAAGTAGAAAAATAGAAAAGTTTACTACTTTGAAAAGGCAACTATGACAAACAAGTGTAAGCTCAGAAACAGGCTATTCAAACTTGAGCAGACAGAGTTCTGCCTGGGCAGGGCAGTCTGCAACAACAGAAAGGAACTTGTAGTCCCATATTTTGAGATCTATGTTTCCCTACAGAGCTGGGGCTGAAGCAGAGGGCTTTCTTGACCCTCTAGCTGGCCCAGTCCTGGAACCGGAAGCAGTCACTTGCTATCTTCCACACTGTGTTGCTGGGAGAGGCTTGGGCAGTTAGGATGAAGTTCTGATTGAAGTCCCTTTGTTTGTTACCCTCAAACTTCACTGTTCCACAGATCACAACCAGGACTGTGGTCTGGCTCGGAGTAGCTTCATCATGAACAGGCTGGCAGTCTACCACATTGATTTGGAACTCACTGGAAGGCAACATTTCAAAGAACTCACTCAAGGACTCTTGTCCTGAAACAGCATTTCCGTTCCACACCAGGGTGGCTGTGCCCATGTATAAGCGGGATAGGAGACGCCGCCGCTTATCCATGGTAGTGTAGTAGACGTTGACAAACTCCTCAGCAGCTCTGCAGGCCTGATCCACGTAGGTCTTGAAATCCACTGATGCCATCTCTGGCTGTGCTGAGGGAGGCCTCTGCCCAGGGGGTTCCTGCACCTGAGGGAGCTGAAGCTGTAGGGTGGAAAGGTCGAAAAGAATCGTGTGAATGCCACAGTTTGTTCTGTATGGACAATCCTTTTCTACTGGTAGCAAAACAATCATATACCCCTAGAGATGGCTCTAGGCTCTAGGGTGGTTTCACCACCACCCCTCTACCACATCTCTGGCCTACACCCCAGCTCTTGTATGCATAAATAATAAAATAAATCTATAAAAAACAACATGGCAGGAAGCTTAGTAGAAGAAGGAACCTATAATGAGGTCCAGGGCTGTTGACACTTAATTTTCTAAGCTTCAGTTTGCTCATTTCAAAATGGGAGTATCACCACTTGTGTCATGGCTATAATTTGAGAATTAAACATGACAATGTACAAGATCTTAGTTAAAACCCTCATATCTATGTACTCAGAAAATGGTAATTATTTCTATAATTATTACATAACTTATATTGATCATATACATATTATACAACCTAACTTTAAATGCAGTACATCTGTCTATGGAAGGACTTTTCCCTGGCAGCTTTGAACAAGTTTGTCTGCCCTACAGAAGTGGGGAAAATTCAGTGACCCAATAAAGACCAAGCAGACAACACAGGTCAGTAGCTGGTGACCATCTGGGAAAGGCTATTGTGAGCTCACCCAGCAGGGGGTGGGAGGGCAAAAAAAAAAAGCAGGTTTCTAAGAGGGAATGAGAACAAATGCTACAAGCACAGAACCAAATGGGGGTAACAGTCCTCACAAGTTATAGGAAGCAACTTGGTACCTGACTGGGACCAGAAAGGAGGGTGCCTAAGCTTTGGAGGAAGTTCTAAATTGGGGGGTAGGGGACGTCAGCAAAAACAAATAAAAATCTCGATGTAGCTGAAATGTTACATTTTCTTAAAAATAAAGTTCAAAAGCATAAAGATACAATGTTTTCTTTGTTCAGGGTGCAACTGCTGGTCAACAGAGGACATTACTAAAAGTAGTAGGTATGTTTAGATTTATGAACAAATTATTGATTAATTTTATATTTCAAAGACTAATAGAGCTGGGAGGGGGCGTGGTCCTCGAAAGGAGCAGTGAGTGTCAGGCTCAGGAGCTGTCCTTCCGCTCTCATGGGCAGTCAAGCCTCAGCAAACACCGAGCTGGTATTTGCTAAATGCTTTACATACATCACCTCCTTCAACAGCTCGCCAGGCACAGCGGAGAGGGGGTCTGCTCTAACAAGTCCACAAATGAGAAAACAGAAACTTTGGGCTGGATCAAAGTCACGCCAGCTGGCCCACTCCTGTTTCCTCGTTTATGAACATGTGCGAGCAGCCCTCGAAAGTGTGGTCAAGGCGGGAAACCAAGTCTGTAACAGCCCAATTCCAGGACCGACAGTTGGGCCCCACCTTTCTGGCTGGATGCAATTCCCGACCAGCAGACGCGGGGCTCCTGATCCACACTGCTCCATCCTCACTAGCCCAAAGCCACCCCGGTCGGGCACGCCCCTCTTCCTTGCCCGGCCCCCCGCGGCACCGCCGGCTCCGCCCGAGCGGGCTTTCCAAACCCAGCTGCCCGGCCGCCCGCTAAGCCCACCCAGTTCTTGAGGGGTTACCTTCGGCGCTGACGGGCCGCCAGGCTCCAGCCAGTCAGCGAGAGCAAACACCGAGGCGGTCTGCAGAAGCGGAGTAAGTACGCGGCGGGGCGGAGAGCCACCTCCTCGCTCGGGTCCACGCCGTGAGGTTGTTCGGTCCCCCGAAGGTGCACGAGGCCGCTTCGGCGCCGAGTCCCACAGAAACGCAGCTCCGGCCGGCTTCCGACGGCCCCTGCCCGGGGCGTGGGCTCCTCTCGCCGCGAGTCGAGTTTACCAACGAGCCTTTCCCACCGGTCACAGCCTCACGCGGGGCTGCAACGCCGCCACGTGGAAGAGCACAGAACCCGGTGATCCCTGACAAAGGGGGGGCGTGGAGGAGGCACGTGGGGGACGGCTCGGGAGTCCTCGGGTCCCCGCGAGCTCCAGACTGCCCGGCGGGGGCCACCTACCTGCGCGGCAGGTGCTGACCCCTGGTCGGCGGGCGGCGCCTCGGTCGACGAGAGGATCCGCTGTCTGCGCGGGCACCTCGGTCGGCGGGGCGGTGTCCCCGGGTCAGCGGGAAGAGGTGGGGGCGGTGGGGACGACCCCGGCGAGCGGGGCCGGGGCGCTCCCAGTCGAGTCGGCCGGGCGGCGTCCTGGGGCGCGCGGCACGGGCGGGCGGAGGCGGCCCCAGCCCGGCGCCCCCCGCGCGGGCCGCAGCTCGACAGAGGGCCGGCCCCTGAAGGTCGTGGGGCGGGCCTGACGAAGCTCTGCGTTCCTCCGCCGCTCGCCTCCGGAGGAGCGGGGAAGAGCGCCCTTCTCTCCTCCTCTTTCTCCCGGGAGGCTCCGCCCGGGCCGCCGGGGCCCCAGGGAAGGGGCACTTCTCGGCGCCTCCGGCGGGTTCCCGCGCCCGGCCCGCCGGACTAGGCGCAGACGCAAGCTCCTCCGGCCCCGCCCACTCCTACCTCCCCCTGACGGGCGGTTGTACTAGCCAGTGGTATGGGGACTTGGTAGGGTAGCTCCGCCCCAGTGTGGCTCAAAAGAGGCGTCAACTTCCGGGAGGGTCAGTTTCCCAGAAGACCACGCAAGTCCTCTCTCTAGTTTTCATTGGTTCAATCGCGTCACAGAAACCGGCCCAACTGGTTAGGTGAGATCTCTGATTGGATGAAATCTTCCAGATCCCGCCCTTGGGGCTGTGGGCGGATCGTTTGTCTTCCCGGCCGCTTGGAGGCTGCTTAGTTGGACGGGATGGGAAGGGCGTGAGAGTCTCTGTCAGGTTGTTTCTCTCGCGTTTCCCTTTCATCCGCGGCTGGGGGTGATTCCAGGTAAAAGCCTAGTGAGACTTCGCTTCTTGACTCAGTCACAGGAAACTAGCCGAAGTGGTGGTGGTGACTTACTATGGCTTTCGTTTCTTTCTTTTTTTTTGGTTTGCAAGAAGGCAATTTATTTTATTTTTTAAAAGATTTATTTATTTATTTATACAAGCACCGGGTACAGTCAGAAGCGCGGGAGGGTGAGAGAATTCACCAGAGCCAGAGCGGGGAGCAGAGCAGGCAGAAGGACAGAAGTACACTGCTGAGGGGAGCAGCGGGCGGCAGGAGAGGTCTGCGCGCCATGTGGGATCCTCCTCCGGTGGCCGGGAAGCAGCCGGGGATCGAACCTGCGCTGCAGAGGCAGCGGGCAGCTTCGCAACACAGCGCTCAACCGCTGCGCCACCGGGGAGGCCCAAGGCAATTTATTTTAACAGTAAATAATTTGAGGAGTCCTGTTCACAGACTGCCACCCCGCTTTCTGCGGGTGCTGTCGGAGGGGATGGGGTGACGTCCTCAGTCGGCCCAATTTTCATTCCTGAGTGGGCAAGGGCTCTGAGGGCTGATTGTGCCGCAGGTCCAGGTGTCTTGGTCCGATTTCCTCCTGTAGCCCGGAGTTTGATGTGGAGGGCAGTGTGTCCAGTGCCTGGCACCTCTGGGCCACACCCTGAGCTGCCAACATAGCAGCATATGGTGAGGATTCATTTCGGTCAGCCTTCACCTTCATCCCACCAGTTACATGGCAGATGGTTTCCTTGCCAGAGAGATCAGTGACAAGGACAAAAGTGTCATTGAAGGATGCAAACATGTGGCAGACACCAAATACGTTTTCTCCTGCAGCCACCTGAGGTCCGAGGCTGATGACCTGTTCTTCCTTCTTTTCCTTCCCTTTGCGAGGTGCCATTTCTGCGTGTCTTCTCCAGACTCCACCTGGCTTTCAGCCAATATAGCTTGTGGACTCCCGAATGTCCCGCAGTCACTCTGGGACTGTTTATGCCACTGGTGGATGAAGCTGGCAGAGAGCCTGTGTAACTCTACCTTCCCATGTAGCTTACTGATGACTCTCCTTTGTGGTGTAGCCGCTTAGAATTGCTATCCCAATGGACACATAAAGGAAAAACAGTTTTAGTTAAGTGAGAAACTCAGCTGAAAGTGAGGGAGTGGGAATGAAGGCATAAGTCTGGGAAGTGACAAAAATGTGTCAAGATGGAAACTATAGCAGTTGACTTTCCTGTGTCCTGTGAATTGAGGAACTGCAAGGAAAACCCGCTTCAGAATGCGGCTGGTGGTGTGATTGTATGGTGCTGAAACTACTGCATTTCAGCTAATCTGGAACCTGGGTTGTTTTTGTTGGGGCTGGAGGAGTGGGGTCCCTTTGTGAATTAATTTGGCAGTCTCTTTCCTCACACATGGCAAGATTGTTAAGGAAAAAGAATAACACAGGTAGGGAAAGAGTTGTATTTTGCCAGAGTAAAGGGTGTCTTTGTATATAGCTCTCTGATGGAATTACTCCTGGAATTTAGTGCTTTGGGTTTGGGTTAGGTTGGTTTTCCTTAACAAATAATAACCAGGGCCTCCCTGGTGGCACAAGGGGTTACGCACTGCGCTATGAATAACTACGCAGCCTCTGCAGCAGGAGTTCGATCCCCGGCCAGCCAGGGAGAGACCCATATGGTGCAGCAGACCTCTCCTGACTCGCCCGCTGCTCCCCTCAGCAGTGTATTTCAGTAGATCTTCCTGTTCTATTCCCTACTCAGTCTCTGGTGAGTCCTCTCACCCCCTGCATATCTGGCCAGTACCCCAGCTCTTGTATGCATAAATAAATAAATCTTTAAAAAATAATAAATAAACAAACAAATGATAAGCAATTCTGCCCCCACCTCTGGTTTTTGACCTAAAAACTTCCGTCTTAAGTTTTCTCCTCTAAATTCCCACCATTTTCATTGAGTTTTTATTTAAAACAAAAGACTCAGCAGAACGGAAACTGGGACTTGGGAAACTAAAATGTAAAAAAAAGTTGGCCTCTTTAGACACAAGAGAGATGGAATGATTTCTTCAAAACTGGGAGACTTCTGGGTATTGTGAAGTTTGTTGATGGTACCGTGTCTTCCCGGTGTGTGTACATTGAACTCATAGGGTCTTGGTTGCACTTTGGTGCCTTTGTTTGCATTCCTAAGGTAGTCCTTACTCTCAGAAGGGTCAGCGTGGGTGTCCCTGGTCTGTCAGATTTCAGGACAAATTTAGAGACTGGATGGGCTTTTACATAGGTGACCCCCCCACCTCCCACTTTGGTGAGTGAAAAATTTGGATTATGAAAGTTGGAGGCTGAGTATGAAGGGTGAACTAGCACTTTTGGAGCAGTAGTCACACTAAAATGTCTTTAAAACCAAGACTGAAATTAGGGTTTAATGTACAAAAATCTAAATCAAAGTGTAAATGCATTGAAAATGAGAGTTGACTTACTGCTTGTTTGCTGGATTGGATGTCGTATTGTTTTATATTTTCTCATATAAACCCTTTTTATTTCATTCTTATAACTTTGGGGTTAAGGAAGATATTATTATTACTTTATAGAAGGAGGTTGAGAGACAAATAACCAGCCTGGATTCACGGAGCCACTGCAAACCTAGCAAAGCTGGTTAGGAGAATGTTATTCCAGCTCCAAGACTTTATAAAAACACAAAGCTTTAGCCCTGAAAGGCTGCAGAATCAGCAGCTATAGAGTAGGGTGGCAAGGGACATTTTAGGTTTGTGTCTTCAGCACTGAAGATTGGGCCTGACCCATAGGGAAGATGTAATACTATTTGAATGAAGTCCTCTCTGACAGTCACTCTTTTACTCTTGCAAGCAAGCCTGGTGTTTATTTTCCTCTCCTTGTGGTCTTAAGTTTGGGGGATTAAGAGTCATCAGGGGCACATCACCCTGAGAACAGTTCTGGGGTGGTGGTGGGTTCAGCTAGGACCATTGAACCCAGAGAATGTGTTTGCTAGGGATTTTTTGAAAAATGCCTTTTCTCCTTCTGGAAATGTGATGTGTGACTAGTGCAGCTGCATCCATCTTGACACTGAGGGGGAGTCCCTAGACAATGAGACAGACAGGAGAGATGGGGAGAAATTAGGCCTTTGATGACTAGGTTGGGAACCAAATCAACCCTGAAGTTTGATCTTCCCAGTTTCAAGAGCCAGTAAAGTCCCCTTATTTATTATACTATTTAAAGTTGAGTATAAACATAAAGTTAGCTAGTTGTAACTTAACTAGAGCAGCTTAGTGTACTAGCAGAGTGACTTAACCCGACTGAGGCTCAACTGCCTCATCTATATAAAGGAGATGCAATAATATCTGCTTTCTCTGGTTGACGTGAGAAGTGAATGAAGCAATATGTGGTATATGGTTAACACAGAACTGAGCACAAAATAAGCATTCAGAAAATATTAGTATGCTTTGACATTTTGCATCAACAGCAACTTCCTTATTTGCCAATAGTCCTTCCAACAACTGACTTTTAAATTTGGGACAGGCGTGCTGACAAATTGGTGGGATTTGTCACAAAATCACAAGGGTACCTTCTGGAGGATGAGCCTAGCTTAAGCAGCTGTGGAACAGTGGCCCCATTTGCTGCATGGAATCCATCCAGGGAGGAAAAGCGCATCTGGTCAAACATGCTGAGCCTCTGGCAGCTCTAAAGACAGGCCCGACTTAGGGATCTTTAAGTCTGTAAACACGGGATTGAGCTTTCTCCCATTGTCATAGTTCTATGTTGCCAGATCTAACAATGTTTGTTTGCCACAAGAGGTGTGACTTGGAGCAAAACCGTGTATGGGATGGTTGGGTGGTTGTGCCTCTTGTGCATTGCCACCAAAACCACATGTGTATTGCTTTCCCTCCATCTTAAATCATTCAAGTTGTGGTATCAAATGATTCTGGGAGGTAATTTGAGGACTTGAATTTTGGGGAGATTCTGGGAAGGAAGAGCTGAGGT